TACATACTGATGCATCTAGTGTTACAGGCCAACTACACAAGATTGCAGCAATCGAAGGATATGAAGAATGGGGCAAATGATGTACCATGTGCAGGATACCATGGTTACAAGCAATGGCAACAATGACAAGGATGTGAGTGATAATGGCAGCAATTCAAGCAACAGCAACAACAACAACAACCTTACCTACTGCAGATAAATAGCCATACAAGATAGGAAGTGCCATGCTATGCTATGGAAACAGGGCATGACAAGCATGGATACTGAGCCTGAGGGCTCAAAGGTTTGTTTCAGTTTTAGACCATTTTACTTACATCTATTCTACACTAGGGAAAATCACATGATTCAGTCACTTGTAGTCCTAAAAGTGGGTCATCCGACATGTACATTTCGTCCTGAAACTGGGACTAACCAACATTGGCCGGTGGTCCCTAGGGTTGGGTAGGCCGGACTGTGAAGGTGGGGTCAGCCTATGTCACAGGATGATGGATCAACTTCCCTGGAAGTGGGGTCAGCTGACATGACTATAGGATGGATTGATGACCTGGAAGTGAGGTCGGCTGATGCAGCTATGGGATAAATTAGTGTCCTGGAAGTGGGGTCGGCTGACACAGCTATGGGATGAATTAGTGCCCTAGAAGTGGGGTCAGCCGATGCAGCACAGATCTCGATTTTGGACAGGTCACATAGTGAGACCTATGATAATCTTGGACACAACCTTAATTGTGACATGAACAACATCACAGCTGTCATGATTATCACACATGTCTACCTGTACTTCGGATGCGTCTCTGGAACATTACATAGGACTATATATGGAGTGGTCAGTCGCTGCTAGGCTGATTTCCGGTTTCAATAAGTGACTACATGTATTAAATGATCCGGTAGTGCTACTACAATACATTTTCTGTGAAATCCCAAGGGTAAGCCACCACTACCGCTCAGCCAACAGCATGAGGGAGTGCTTGCTTGGCTCAACAATGCAATTATGAGAATGTCAAGTGAACATTTAGTATTTAGTATATAGAAGCTGAATCTGGTGACAGTGGAGTCACATGACATTGCTATTCGCGATGTATAGTACAACACACAGTACTGACTCAGAGGAAGTTGCTGGCACTCATGGCAACTGAACATGCGCCGAGGCCGAGAACGTGACATTGACAGTGACCTCGCTAGTTGGACTGTGGCCAAACAATGGTACATAAGACTCAAGTATATAAATCCCCCCCAGTCAGTGGCATGTTTTTTCCCTTACTGCATTTTCCTGCGATGTGACACTTCCCCTCCGTCGTCCTCCCTCTCCCTCCATCTCCATCTCCCTTTCCCCCTCTCTCTCTCCTGTTTTGTGTGCTACATCATCTTCATTTTTATCTCAGCCCATTGTCTCGGCTGTCATAAGGTAAGTGGCACCTCTGATCCCAGAATTTTCACATTACTTGATTACTGTTACTTTGCAGCATCCTTGGTGCCTCACTATTGACTGTAGTCTGCAGCTACAGGATGTAGGGAGGGGCTGCCCTTGACCTTAGATTGTGCTTGGCCAGTGCAATTTTTGGTTGTTGGGTAATATGTTGGGTCTGGGGGAATAGTCTGTGCCTACATTGTAGGCCAGCTCATATGGGATCTGGGGGCTAGTCTGTACCTACATTGTAGGTCAGCTTATGATGTTTTATTTGGTCTGTACCCACCTGTGTGGGTCAGCCTATGACGTTTTTTTGTGTGGTATGTGTTGGTATATATTGGTAGTAGCTAGTTGGTCAGGCTTTGGTGTAGTGAGTATTCAACTTCTGTATAATCTATGTTGTACTGACATAAACTTTCTAGAGCTGTTTGTCTTTGACTCCTGGTGAAGAAATAGTGCACCTCAGGTATGTGAACTTTGCAAAGTTGTGTTGATGCTAATGTGTTTTTAGTATCTTTGTTATCAGCTTTTGTGCACTTTTTTGGGAACTTGGTTGAATTGAGGATGGTTTTTATTGGCCCAACTGTACTTCTGGAGGAGGGCCCCCTCTGGAATGCAGGCAAGCCTTGGTTTCTTATGAAACCATTATACCTTTGTAGTTGAAATTGTAACTGTAGTTGAATTTATGTATGACCTTGTAAATGTCACTGCTTTGATTGGATTTGAATGCTGTGTGGGAATCTATGCTTCTTTTTTTGAATGAAGCATGTGCTAACCCTAACCCTAGCATAAGACTTGGTGTATTTCTTCATGCAAGTCTCCTTCTAACCCTAACCTTAGCAAATGACTTGGTGTATTGTTTCATGTCAGTCTGCCTGGCTGGTGGATGGTGCTAGATTAGCACTGGTGTTCCATGGCTGATCTTCTTAAGCAAGGTTTCCCTTTGATGCTCAAGAGCTTGCCAATGGCATTACTAGCAACCCAACATCTTCCCTTCAAATGCTGACTGGATGTGTTCCTAGCTGTTGGATGTTGCTAGATTGCTAGATTAGTATTGGTGTTCCATGGTTTCCCATGATGCTCAAGAGATTGTTGGACTGGATTGACTTGGAGTTCAACTGCTGCTGAGTTTGATTCCACCATTCCAGGCCCCTGCTTACATGACTAGATGTTTCAAGAAACATGGCATATCTAGTAGACTAAGTTGGGTTTCTGGATTCTGGATCTTCCCCCAAGTCAAGCAAGGTCCCTTGTGGAGAATAACTTCCAACTTATGTACTGAGTGATTTTTAACTATTTTTCTCATCGTTGAAAAATTTTCCTTTGACTTTTCCAACACCCCCCACATCATCATGGATGATTCCCTGCATACAATGGTGGTTGGAATGCTGAAGGCTGCCTTTGGAACAGTCCATATGATCTCTTCCAGCTCTATTTTCTCAAATCACCAGCTCAGGAAGCCAAGGTAAGCCATAAGCAGCAATGCTACACTTGCTATGTATTTAGTTGGATAATAGACTTTGATCCTTGGCTGAGTTAACCCAAGTCAGGGCAACATTGCAAGGGGAATCTGGTCTAACTTCAGATGCTATTACATCTTTGGAAGTTAGGCTGGCATCCACAGTCATTACACATGCCATCCTCAATCCCTGTAGGTGATTTCCACAACAATTGCAAGTGATCCAAGTCTGACCCTTAATAGATGTGTTGCATTGGGATGCAGACAGGTTTTCTGAACCATTGGTGCATGCCAAGGACAGGACCATCCATTTTGAAAACCCAAAAATTGGGTATATCAATGCTCCTGCCACAGTTCTGGATGTGCATGGCAGGGTGATAGTATGGTATCTGCCTGGTATTGTCCCAGATGCATGGATAGTGAGTGTTTTCATTCTCTGACAACCCTTCACTACAGCTTTTATATCATAGGAACTTCTCAATTCCCTTCTCCTTTCCATAAAAGACAATCTTCAGACTGAGCCCAAGAACAAGCCAAAAGACAAAAGCAAGCTTAACAAATGATATGGCCATAAGCATCAGCCTGTTGACCAAGTCATGTATGGACATGGCAGGATTTCCATGTCTCCTGCCACATTCCAACAGGCTCATGAGGTTTGTCCAGGTGCTGTGATTTCCATGGTAGGGGCTGACAAATTTAAAGAGGTTGGTTGATACACTCTATCAAAGCACATCCCTCAAACAGAAAGCCAATAGGGAATGGCTGCTCAAGATTTCTTATGTGGAACACTTCTGGAGCAATATAGCAAAGGTCTCATTGCCAGATATGGCCAGGGCTGGTGATCAAGCAATGTTGGCCAAGGCTGGCAGGGTGGAGAATGAGATATCCCTGGATTGGCCATCAGTCTATACCAACATTGATATTATTGTCAATCAGGAAACTCCCTCTCACCTGAGATGTCACATCCACCCCAACCCTTCTGGATTCATTAGTGAGCCTGGGTTCTCACAATGCTAAATTCCTTATTCCAGATCTGGGGGCTCAAACTGGCTTATTCCCCAGGCACCATGATTTTCCTATCAGGAAAAATCCTTCAACATTCTGTGCCAAAGTGGGAGAAGGGAGAAAGAATTGCATTGGTGCATTATATGAAGGACAAAGTACATGACTGACTCAAGGTCACAAGACCAGCATGGACTACCCAAAAGGACATTCTTGGGTTGGCTGTCAGATACACTTAAAACACATTTTAGTGGCAATTTTTGGGTACAAATATTTTAAATACATTTGATAACCTTGTTCTGGACTTGTGTGGTGTTGTTTTGGGGATGAAAAATTTTCAATACAGCTGAAAACCTTGCTTTTGACTCTTCCTGTGCTCAATCATGCGTCGTCGTAGAACCAAAGTCCTTGGCAAAAGCTCTGCAGGAGGTTTGTATAAATTTGAAGTCACTAAAACCCAGAGAGGAAAGGACACCTACAAGGAGGTGGATGCTAGACACCTCTACCTCCCATCTCAGAGTCAACCTTCAACTCCAAGGACCCCCAGGACAATAGGCTCCCAAAATGTTGTCCCAGACTCCTTTGACATGCCTACCTTGGACTGGAATGATGAGGAAGATACCCCAAATACTAGGAGGGTTACCAAGGTGGGAAGTTTTGCCTGATACTGCATTGGCTAAATTATCCCCTAGAGTCAAAATGATTTCATCAGAGAATGGCTGCCTTGGAGAGCAGAATATCTCAAAGTCATTCTTGAGGGAGAGCAGCTGGCTAAGGGGGGGATATGTGAGCAGTGCTGTCAGGCAGAAGGAAGTATCAGATGCATGTCCTGCATTGGTGTGCATGCCTGGTGTGGTCCTTGTGCTGTGAAAGTGCATCAAAATCTTCCATTCCACAAGGTACAAAGATGGAATGCTACTCATTACCAGGATACCTCTTTGATGGCACTTGGGTTCCTTTGGCACATTGGCCATGGGGGTCATCCTTGCCCTCAAAACAGACAGAATCAGGATCCAGACTCAGAGGAGTTGGGCTATACTTCTGGGGAAGGGCCTCCCAATTACAGGTCAATGGCAGTCATATCCTGTAGCCTCCATGTTAACCTCTGGTAGCAGGAGATCCTTCAGATCAAAAATGACCATAGTGCACACAGAAGGAATTTTCACTCATGAGATTTCTTGGTGCAATTGCCCTGGGTCAGATCCAATCGACTGGCACCTTGATTTACTCAGGGAAAGACTCTTTCCAGCCAGTATAACAAAGCCCAAGACTGCTTTCACCTTTGATGTTCTTAATCACTTTCTCATTGATGCCCTGGAATGCAAGACTTCAGCTATGAGTTTCTATCAGAAGCTGAAGAGGTTCACCAACAATGCATTTCCTGACTGTATACCAGTTGAGTGCCATGCACTATTTGCTCTTAGGGGGTTCTATTAATGCATTCATTTCCAATTAGGACAGGTACCGAGAGCTGATGAGGGTTTCCAGACTGTGGAGGGATTTGAAACATAGGAAATGGTTTGGCTTTGGTCATGATAAAGAACAAGATCCTAGACAAGGAGAACTTGCACTCTTTTGTCCTGCCTGCCCACAACCAGGTATTAATTTACCTCCAGATTGGAAAACCCGATATGACAGGTATGGAGTGATAATCTGTAGGGTTTTGATTTCTAACTCCCCTCCCCCCTTAGTGATACCATAATGAGGCAATATGTCATGGATGGCAACTTCACTGCTCAGCATATGAAAATGAACAAGCCTGAGTTGGATGTGTCATTAGCAGATGGAACTGGTTACATGGTTGCTGAAAAGCCCTACCAGGCCCATCTTGAGCAGTCTTTGGATAACAAGGAGGTGAGTTGTCCCAAGGTCATGGAGTTTAAATGACCCACTGTACTGGTAGAGATCCACCTGCAGCAATCACAGGGCAATCAATGCTGCTAATATTAACAAGTCCAATCTCCGGTCCACTGGGATTGGTGCCACAGCCTGTGCTCGGCATGGTTGCTTTGTTCCCCATTCTGTGGTGGACTTTCAGAAAGGGGAAAAGTGAGTGGACCTGATGGATGTACTGGAAGCCTTTGGAACTCATTTTGTGCTAGGTACATGAACACAGATTACTCCATCTGCAGTGCTCTTGATTATCATTCAGAAAGCATCACAAAGGCCCTTGTCATTTATGATGTTGGGTGCCAGTGGAGTATTAACTTCCAGAGTCGGGTAAAATCCAGCTGCTCTCTCCATCTCCCTCCCTCCCTGGAAATCATTCCTGCTGTGGGGAAGTTTCATCTTGCTGCCCACAAACTCTCTTGCTTTCCAAGATATAGCCTCAACTTTATCAAGGGTGCTGGTCATCTGGATGGTGAAATTTTGGAGACATTGTGGGCTCCATTCAATAAGATCTCTCCCACTGCAAGGTCTATGACTCAGGCCCACAGACAAGAAGTGTATGATGACCATATGAGAGATTCTAACTGGAAAAAAATTGTCAACATGGGTGAGAGACCTTTTCTTCAAAGAGAAGTTAATTTACCCTGTACATCTCAGTTCCTGCACTGTTGAAAAAATACAAGACCTCACACAAGTGCCTAGAAGAAATGAATCAGGCATATGAGCAGTTGACAGCTGTTCTAGACCCTGGCCAACTTGCCCAATGGGAGTCAGATGTTCTTGAGGCAGAAGCAAATCGAGGTGATTCCCTAGACATTTATTTGTTGAAAGGGGAAAAAGGTCAGTATGTTCCTAAGAAACCCTGGGCATGTCTGATGGCCTGTAGCCCCTACCATGGGTGAAGTGCAGTTAAAGCTCATGAAAAATCCACCTGTGTCCCCAGGGAGCCATGGTTCTGTGGCTTGGCTTGTGGAAGGAATTAGCATAGAGGATGCACAGTATGGTCTGTGGTTTCCAGAAGCAATAGGTTGCTAACCAGACCTGCAGGGACCAGCTAAGATCTGAGCTTAGACAGAGCCACATGTCTACCAGACAAGAAATCAAAGTCTCAGAGAAAAGAAAAAGACTTTCTGCCAGGATTGACAAATTCCATGGCACCAGCCAGGCATTTCTCAAAGGTTTGGAGGTGGACGATGTCTTCATACCCCAGGATGATCCAGCATTCCTTGGGCAAGGTGAAGAAATTGATGACAATGGAGAGTACTGGGAAGATGATGAGGATTGGGAGGCTACAGAAGAAGGAGAGGAGCTACCTGCTGAGCTCATGAGTATATGGATGCCCTCATCCATTGGAGCAACCAAACTGATGGAGCTTGGCCTTCATGACCTCCTCAAAGAAGAAATGGAACTCAGGATTGGGCAAGCTAATGATTGTCTAGACCAGCTCCGAACCAACCTTGGACACAAGGCAATGTTATACAGACAGAACTTCTGCAGTGCACAATCAACTAGGGAAGGTACAAGAACCAAGCAGGACATCCAAAAAGTGGTGGCTTGGATAAACAAGCAGGTCAGAAGTTATCAGAGGGCAAGGCAGGCCATTCTCCAGTTGGAACCCAATCAAGAGATTGGACAAAAATATCAGGCTATTCAGCCCCAGGACCTGGCAGTGAGTAAGGATGTTACAGAGGAGAACTGGTTTGGGCAGGGAACCAGCAAAATGGCATGGTTTTGGATGATGGATGGTGAACAGGGTCAACTGAATGCTGAGAAGGGGGGTTTAATGGAGGAGTGTAAGTGTTAATACTACTCAAAAAAATCTCACCAATAAATTGTGGGGCAGTTTACAGGATCAACTGGCTCAAAGCAAGGGCAAGAAGGGACAGGTGGAAAGAAGAATTGTCATTGGTGAGGCATGAGATGGTTTGGGCCATCTTATGGTTTGAGTTCCAGAAGGACATATGGGAGAAAAGGGCTCTACAATTGTTGGAACCAGGGAAAAAGGCTTATGCTCATAAGCAGATAGTGTTGTGGACTGACTTTTCCAAAAAGGCCCAATTGATATTCCAAGGTAAACAAATGGATTGTATTTAGAACATGGGTATATGTGTATAGTTTTCCGATTACCCTTGCTTTGCACTTGGTATCTGAATCAAAGTGAATAGCAAATACATCAAAACAATCATACCATAATGGTACCTTTCCTAAAAGAGTGATGGCCAAAAACTTCAACCTCCTGCCTAAATTGGGAAAGGCTGAAAAATTTTCACCTTGCTTCCAACCTCCATCATCTGTGCTGCTAATTATCCCCCTGATTTTATTCTCTCATGGCTGATTGGTCTGAAGTCTACTCTGATCTGCTGTCCTCCTATGTGGAGCAGTACACAGATGCCCGAGGGAATCCTGACCTCAGGGCCCAGATCCTGGCTGATGTGAAATCCCAGATCCTTCAGCAAGCATCTTCAGGATCTGTGGAATTGCCCCAGAACTTGAGAGTGGTAGGGTATCTTTTTCATCAAGTTTCACATATCTCAAGTGTATTTAGGCCATCAGAAGGGTGTTTTTGCCAGAACTAGACCCTGAGGACCAGGATGATGAGGAACACATCATTGAGAGCATCCTGGCTGCAACAGACAAGAGGAAGGAGCAGCCTGGGACTGGTGAGGATGAGGATGGCAGAGAGGAGAGGACCAGACCTACCAAGGCTGGAAATTACAGAAAACCCTTCACTGATTTTACTGCCTCCCAGCAGCTCTTCAAAGAGGACATGGATGCCTATGATAGGGAGAGGAGGGACACCAAGGACCCCAAGACCATAGGTCAGAGGACCAAAATCATCCAACAGTGGTGGGAGTCTCTTGCAGATGACAAGAAGGCTGAAGCAGGGAGGGCTGCTTCCAAGTGGAATAAGTTGGGAGCTCCAAAAGAAACTCATGAATTGTCAGTGCTGGTCTACTTCAAATGTCTTATACTACTCATGCAATAATTCAGGTACAGGAGAAAAAATTTTCCCAACATGGCCAGAGACTTTATTGAAACAGTCAGGAGGACCATGGGGTCAAATATAGTGATGTTTCTGGCTCATGAGACTACTGATTCTCAGATCAAGATGGCAGTGTAGGTTCCCCTTTACCTTGTCTATCCAATGCTAATGAAGAAACCTAGCTTTGAAACACAACCCCCTGATGGGAAGAAGGCCTTCTCAGAGTCTTCAGAGCCCACCAAGAATTGGGTTCTAAAGGGAGAGCAAATGTTAACCAATTATCTTTTGACTGAAGCTGGTAAGTGATAAACATTGGTGATCAATGTAATATGTGTACCTAGGTTGATTCCATACTCAGCTGAGGAAGATTTGAATGATGAGAATCCAAAGGTGGAGATAGCCTTGGATGATGAAGGAAACCCAGAGGTACCAGCTTGGACTGGTCAGAAACTCAAGGTCCAGCAGAGTTTGGCAAGAATGGTCTTCCAGGCTGCCTATGGTATGTCCTTGATTGTCAAGTGCATCTACAGTTGTTGATGGAAGTTGGAAACATAGCAAAGTTTACAGGGAAGCCCAAGGCCAAGGTTCCCTGGGGCCTGCTTATCAAGTCCCATTTGGAGTATCTGAGTTCCAATTCCATCCCAGAAGGATTTGTGATGAAAGATCCTTCAAAATGGACCAAGGCTGACATGTGGATGCTTTGGAATCATTGGAATTCCCAAGAGGAGGAGGATAAGGTGATTGTTTCATTCATCAAGTGCAAAAAGGAGGACAAGCCATTGGGAAGGCCCTGGAACAGGAAAACCCCATCCAAAAAGAGAGAGTGGATGAGCCCTGGGGAGGACAGTGAAGCTGGGGTGGAGGCCAAGCCCTCAGATTTAGGGGAAGAAATTGGTGGGGCTGGTATGACCCCTATAGCAACTTCATCAGGGACCCAGGATATCCTTGACTCTGGGAGGGCCCCATCTGAAGATACCCCTCATGAATCCAGCCCTGCTTGTCATGCCAACAGGGACAGGGTGAAATATTTAAAGTCCCTTTGCATCATGCCCAGGTACCAGGAACTTGTTGAGCTTGTAGATGGCTTGCCAGAGACAGTAAGTGATAAACTTTCTTCAAATACCAGGTTAACAAACATTTTGTACAGGAACCTGATGCTGGACCAGTCAACCTGCCTGTCTGGGCATCTTGGGCCTGGAGTGCCCAGTATTTGCCCCAGGAGATGCATGGCAATGGGGATTCCTTCTGGAAGGCACTGTATCAATTGCAAAGTGAAAAGTTTGCATCCACCCAGAAAGGTCTTACCATTGTACTGGGATTTGGTTTGTTGTGGAGGGAGTGCAAAAGAGCACAGGACATAGAATCAGATGACCCTGAAGCTGCTAATCTGGGCTTTTTGCTAGGCTCAGGTCTTGATATCCACAAGGGGGAAGATGTTATGGGTGCAGTGGGGCTGGTAGTTGCAAGACTGCAGCAGAATTCTGGTGGCTCAAGCAGAGGGATTGGTGCACAGGAAACAACTGGGGTCAGTGCAGGAGATTCCTGTCCCAGCCAGGGGGGTGGCATGAAGGAATCCTGGAATACAAGAAAGGATGTGAGGAAAAGAAAAAGGGGAGGCAGTGGGGATGTTGATCAGAAGATGGCAAAGGAGGGTGAAGAGGCAAGCAAGAAATCAACTAGAGCTCGTCAACCAACCAAGAGAGCTCTGGGTCTTGGTCTATAAATAAACTGTAGATGGTGTGAATCAAATGGATCCCTATATATGGCTACCCATGCTCATTGCAAGTTTCAAACCCTGTGAGATCACTGACATCACCTGGAGGTGAAGAATGGCCATGGATTCAGGGGGTAAGGCCACCCCCCAGTGAGGTTGGCCAACACTGGTCTCAGGGGGTATGTCCATCTGGAAGTGTCATCAGAGTCAATACTTCTGGTAACATCTAAATTGACAAGCAATTGATTATGCCAAGGGAATTTTCAGGGTTTGGCCAACCCTACTTCCAGGTGGTGAGGTCTGTGTCCATCCCCCAGTGAAATCAGCCAACACCACTTCCAGGGTGTGAGTCCATCCCCCAGTGAGGTCGGCCGACACCACTTCCAGGGTGTGGGTCCATCCCCCAGTGAGGTCAGCCAACACCACTTCCAGGGTGTGGATCCATTGCCCAGTGAGGTCGGCCAACACCACTTCCAGGGTGTGGATCCATTGCCCAGTGAGGTCAGCTGACACCACTTCCAGGGTGTGAGTCCATCCCCCAGTGAGGTCAGCCAACCTCCCTCCAACATGTCGGCCTATCCACCATCAGGGTCTATAGGCCGATGTCGGTTAGTCCCACTTTCAGGACCAAATGTGCATGTCAGATGACCCACTTTCTGGATTACATGTGACTGAAGGGTCTGAATGTAAAACATACAAACATGTGGACAGTTTTTTGAGCCACTGTAGTGACTACTTCATGCACTGAGAGCTCATACCTTTGTTAGGTTATGAGCCCTGCTCTTGCACTCTAATTCTGGAAGAGTTATTACACAGCAACAATACCCACCATGGCAAAAGACAATCATTCCTTACAAGTCCCAACCCTAAATGTGGATGGCAGCAACTGGTTATACTACAAGGCTTGGGTTGAATGGGCCATCAGTTCAAAAGAGCTGATTGGACACCTGACTGGCTTGGATGGGGTTTATTTATAGTGTCTGACACTCAATTACATAAAGGTGACATAATAGAACCATTACCAAATGTATGTACTAATATTACAGTATGCCAGGGTCTAATATATGTAATTGAAACCTAAAGTCAAAAAACTGACCACATGAGTCATCATTTTGAAATGGCTGCCATTTGATCAAACCTTATCCAAAACCCTTGACCCCTGCACCAATAGAGAGCCAATGGTAAGGGCTTTTTTTCATACACTTATAGGTTAGGGCCTGGGTTAGGGGATATGGGGCAGTATTGACTTTAGTGAAAAATGTCCAAACATGCAGTCAGTTTTTTGAGCCACTGTATGATGTCTTCAGCCCTGGTCATGCAGAAGGACTTGTCTCCAGACTTTATAATCAAAGTAATTTCCAATGAATATGATAGGCACCAAACATGGACAAAGTGGGGCAACTCTGGAAACTCTGGAAAATTCCAAAGATGCAGCTTACTCAGCAAAGGATGGAAAGAAGTCTAATTGCAAAAATTGCAGAAAGAAAGCTCACAGAAAAGACCAATGCTGGGAAGAGGGTGGCAGAAAAGCTGGGCAAGTGCCCAAGTGGTTCCAGAACAAGGCCAAAGGGAAAAAGAAGGAGAAAGGCTGCAGAAAAGCAGCCACTGCAGCCAGTGCAACAGCCAGCTCAAGTGCACAGACCAGCATTGACTCCAAACCTGATGGAGTTTGGTTAGCACACCCACAGGATGACAATTGGCTCACAGAAATTGTGGAGGAGAAAATTTCAAACCCCCAGGACATTGTTATCAACAAAGAAGATGCATACACAAACACCCTCAATCATGTTCTTCTTGCAGGTGAAAGCCTAAATTCTGCAGAGGAGACCATTCTGTTCAACTCAGGCACTTCACATCATATGTCCTCCTACTGCAGTAAATTTCTTGATTACAAGCCAATCATCCCCAAACCTATCACTGCTGCCAATAACCACACCTTCCATGCCATCAGGAAAGGCAATCTCACAATCTCACTCCCAAATGGCACTGCACAAACCCACATTTGACTCAAGGATGTGCTCTATGCTCCCAAAATGGGAATTATACTCATTTCCATTAGCAAACTTGATGTTGCTGGGTATGCTGCATTATTCTGAGACAAGCATTGTCAAATTTTTGACACTTGGAAAAAGAAAGTAGCCAAAATTCCAATGCAAAAAGGGCTCTACTACCTCAAATGAGCTCATCATGCCCTTGCAGGCCTAGCTAAGGCCACAGAATCCCTAACTATGGAGGAGATACACATCACACTGCAGGCATTTCACAATTTTTCATGATCAAGCATGTTGAAAAAAATTGAAGGAAGAGATACCATGTTATAATGGATGTTTTCACAGACAAAATCCAAAAATAATATTTCATTTTCTTTGCCTTCTCCACCAGCAAACATGAATTGACAGTAATTGTCATTAGACTAAATGCTAATGGTCATTACCATCAATTAATGTTTATAGGTGGGACATGCAAAGAAAATAAATTATTACTTTTGGATTTTTTGTTTGAAAACATCCAAAATAATATTGTATCTCTTCTTTCAATTTTTTTCAACATGTTCTGTTATGAAAAATTGTGAAATGCTTGCAGTGTCAGGCTTGGCCAAATTGCTCCCAAAGCCATCTGGCACATGCTGAAGGATGGAACAATCACATAATGTACCTATGTTGTACCATATGACAGGGCCAGCAGAGGCTGACAATTGGCCATGTCCCATGGGCCAGTGGAGGTTGAGCCCTACATTGGGTCATCCCCCTGCTGTATGGACCAGCCCCACTTCTATTATCAAATAACACATGAGTAGGCCACAATCAAATTGTCCCTGTAGTACCTGGAGTAGCCTAGTGTGAGATGTCACCTATCCAGTGACATGCTGCAGCATGTGTAGATCAGCACTGGAAGTTGGCACAAGACCTCAGCATGCTTTGGGATAGCTCAGCAGTGTAGCGTTGTATGCTACAGCATATGTGGATCAGCACCATGTGACAATCTGGGGCACATATGCCAGAGCATGCCATGGCCCTCCAGGGTAAGCAACACATGTGCTGGAGCATGCCATGGCCCTCCAGTGCACACTGTGGCACATGTGCTGGAGCAAACCATAGCATTCTGGAGCACTCTGGAGCATGCAATGGCCCTCTGGGGTGAGCTGTGGCATACAGTGGCTCAAAAAACTGACTGCATGTTTGTATGTTTTACAATAGTTATGACTCAATGCAATAACCCCTAACCCTAGCCCTAAACCATGAGTGTATGAAATAGGGTACTTACTCTTGGCTTTCTATTGGTCCATGAATCAAGTGATTTGGATAGGAATCAATAGATTAGCAGCCATTTGAAAATGACATGTCATGCAGTCAGTTTTTTGACTTTAAGTTTTGATTACATAGTTTTGAGTTTAACAAAGTTTAAAATGCTGTGAGGTGCTTTGGTCTATTTGATGATTTGTCATCATACAAACAATGCCAAACAATGAATTGGGACCATCAAGGCTCCCTCTTCTACCCCAACTCATGAAGCCATCCTCCTGGTCCATCTGGGCCATTTTCTCACAGTAATCCCCATAAATATTGGTGCCCACTACAGTAATATCATCAGGGTATATGTCCAACACAATCAAACCCTTAAAAAGTCTGCTTTCAGTCATCCCTGTGCTGTTTCCCCCACCCATACCTGATATGTTCTGCACCTAATCAGTACTGCAACAGCTGGAAATGCCATGGAGGTCAATCTGGCACATCAGAAAATGATGAACAAATGAAAAACCTTTTAACCAGTACATTTTCACCACAGTACAATTAGTTTCAATGCTGGGGTGAGACAAAACATTCCTGTGCACTTCAGGTGGCATGGGAAGCATGGCTAGACTGTGCTCTCAGCTGACTGTGGATGACTGGGAATGGGTGATTTGGTCATATAAGACCATAGGTAATACCCAGGCCTAGATGGATTGATGGAATCTCCTTCCTAGCAGTTCAGTGGACTATCCCCCCCAGGGTACCTGGACTGTAATGAAGGTTTTCAGCTCACCCTAGCCCTCAACCCAGCACCCTTGAGGTGGAAACCCACCAGATAAGAGGTGATTGGATTGTTGGTCATGTTTTAGAGTGCCAGATTAACCATCATGGCTTTTCAGCATTCTCAGTACTGATTAGTTGCAGAACATATCAGGTATGGGTGGGGGAAACAGCACAGGGATGACTGAAAGCAGATTTTTCAAGGGTTTGATTATGTTGGACATATACCCTGATGATATTACTGTAGTGGGCACCAATATTTATGGGGATTACTGTGAGAAAATGGCCCAGATGGACCAGGAGGATGGCTTCATGAGTTGGGGTAGAAGAGGGAGCCTTGATGGTCCCAATTCATTGTTTGGCATTGTTTGTATGATGACAAATCATCAAATAGACCAAAGCACCTCACAGCATTTTAAACTTTGTTAAACTCAAAACTATGTAATCAAAACTTAAAGTCAAAAAACTGACTGTGTGACATGTCATTTTCAAATGGCTGCTAATCTATTGATTCCTATCCAAATCACTTGATTCATGGACCAATAGAAAGCCAAGAGTAAGTACCCTATTTCATACACTCATGGTTTAGGGCTAGGGTTAGGGGTTATTGTATTGAGTCATAACTAATGTAAAACATACAAACATGTGGTCAGTTTTTTGAGCCACTGTATATTCTGAAGTGAACTGTGGCATGCCAGCCACTCCAAAGCAAATGCCAGAGCATGCCATGGCCCTCTGGAGCACACTGCAGCACATGTGCCAGAGCAAACCATAGCATTCCAGAGCACTCCAGAGCATGCCATGGCCCTCCAGGGTGAGCTGCAGCATATGTTCCAAAGTGAACTGTGGCATGCCAGCCACTCCAGAGCAAATTCTGGAGCACACTGTGGCACATGTGCTGGAGCATACCATAGCATTTCAGAGCACTCTGGGGCATACCATGGCCCTCTGGGGCAAGCTGTGGCATATGTTCTGAAGTGAACTGTGGCAAGCCAGCCACTCCAGAGCAAATGCCAGAGCAAACTGTGGCAAATGTGCCAGAGCATGCCATGGCCCTCTGGGGTAAGCTGTGGCATGCCAGCCACTCCAGAGTAAATTCCAGAGCACACTGCAGCACATGTGCCAGAGCATACCATAGCATTCCAGAGCACTCCAGAGCAGGCCATGGCCCTCCAGGGTAAGCTTCAGCATATGTTCCAAAGCAAACTGCAGCATGCCAGCCACTCTGGAGCAAATTTTGGAGTAAACTGTGGCACATGTGCCAGAGCATGCCATGGGCCTCTGGGATAAACTGCAGCATGCCAGCCACTCCAGAACAAATTCCAGAGTAAACTGCAGCACATGTGCTGGAGCATACCATAGCATTCCAGAGCACTCCAGAGCAGGCCATGGCCCTCTGGAATAAGCTGCAGCTTATGTTCCAAACCAAACTGTGGCATGGCAGACACTCTGGAGCAAATTCTGGAGCACACTGCAGCACATATGCTGGAGCATACCCATAGGATTTTGGAGCACTCTGGAGTAAACTGTGGCACTGACCTACATTGGCCACCCTTTGGCAGTGACCCCTATACATTAGCCAGCCTTGGCACAGCCCCTATCTCATTGGCCTCCATCAGCCATCCTTCAGCAGTGACCCCTATACATCAGCCAGGTCTTGACAGTGCCAAGCCATGTCACACCATGCCAAGCTCTAGTGTCAGCTCTGAGTGTCATTCACAGTGCTGCATAGCCATATAGTACTCTGAAATTCTACAGGTTGTCTGCAGAATGGCAGAACAGGATGGACACTTGGTAATGAAACTACAGGCACTGAATGATATAGGAAACAATGCTAGTGGCATGGTGCACTACCAAAATGTTGGTAATCAACTAGTAGACCCTGCTACACTTGTGATCAAAAGTGCAGACACTACTACAGGTGTGGTAATGAAACATGTAGACACCACTAACAGCATACTGCAATACTAGTAAAATAGCAGACACTAATAAATTGTTGGTAATCAACTAGTGGACCCTGCTACACTTTTGGTAATAAAAAGGGTGCACACTGGTAATCAAACTGTGGACAGTGCAGCATGGTCTGGCACATGTGCTACAGTTTGCTCTGGAGTGTCAGCATGGTACAGAATGCTCCCAAACATCTGCTGCAGATTGCTCTAGAGGGCCATGGCCTGCTCCAGAGTACTCTGGAATGCTATGGTATTCTCTGGCACATGTGCTGCAGTTTGCTCTTGAATTTGCTCCAGAGTGTCTGCCATGCCACACTTTGGTTCAGAACATTTGCTGAAGCTTACCCCAGAGGGCCATGGCCTGCTCTGGAGTGCTCCAGAATGTGATGGTATTCTCCAGCACATGTGCCACAGTGTGCTGTGGAATTTTCTCCAGAGTGGCTGGCATGCTGCAGTTTGCTTCAGAACATATGCTGAAGCTTACCCCAGAGGGCCATGGCATGCTCCAGAGTGCCCACATGGGCTGCAGTTTTTTCTGGCATTTGCTCCAGAATTTGCTCCAAAGTGGCTGGCATGCCACAGTTTGCTTCAGAACATATGCAAAAGCTTACCCTGGGTGGCCATGGCATGCTCCTGCACATGTGCCACAGTTTACTCTGGAATATTCTCTGGAGTGGCCAGCATGCTGCAGTTTGCTTCAGAACATATGCCAAAGCTTACCCTGGAGGGCCATGGCCTACTCTGGAGTGCTCCAGAATGCTATGGTTTGCTCTGGCACATGTGCTGCAGTGTGCTCTGGAGGGCCATGGCATGCTCTGGCACATGTGCCACAGTTTTTTCTGGCATTTGCTCCAGAATTTGCTCCAGAGTGGCTGGCATGCCACAGTTTGCTTCGGAAAATATGCCACAGCTTATTCCAGAGGGCCATGGCCTGCTCTGGAGTGCTCTGGAATGCTATGGTATGCTCTGGAACATGTGTTGCAGTGTGCTCCAGAGGGCCATGGCATGCTCTGGCACATGTGCTGCTGTTTACTCTGGAATTTGCTCTGGAGTGGCTGGCATGCCACAGCTTATCCCAGAGGGCCATGGCATGCTCCAGCACATGTGCTGCAGTTTATTCTGGAATTTGCTCTGGAGTGGCTGGCATGCCACACTTTGGTTTGGAACATATGCTGCAGCTTACCCCAGAGGGCCATGGCCTGCTCTGGAGTGCTCTGGCACATGTGCCACAGTTTACTCCAGAATTTGCTCTGGAGTGGCTGGCATGCTGCAGTTTGCTTCAGAACATATGCTGATGCTTACCCTGGAGGGCCATGGCATGCTCTGGCACATGTGCCACAGTTTTCTCTGGCATTTGCTCTGGAGTGGCTGGCATGCCACAGTTTGCTTCAGAACATATGCCACAGCTCACCCTGGAGGGCCATGGCATGCTCCAGAGTGCTCTGAAATGCTATGGTATGCTCTGGCATATATGCTGCAGTTTGCTCTGGAATTTGCTCAGGAGTGTCTGCCACAGCTTACTCCAGAACCAGACATACTGTGTAGTCATGTTGGGCTGCACTATGTACAGGATGCTGATCTGACCTGGGCTATGCCATATATGTCCCTATCACATGGTGATATTCTATTTGAAGCCTCTCCATGTGACATTTAAAAATATAATTGCAGCTGACTCCTCTATCATGCATGACAATACAATTGTAGCTGATCCTGAATGACACATGACAACATAGTTGCAGCTGATCCCTACATTATGCTGACAACTCATAGGTCAGCTTGACTTCTGCTGGCCCATGTGACATGGCCAACTGTCAACCTCCACTGGTCATGTCACATGGCCTAACTAGGTACATGGGCTCAAACAATCACTGGAATTAAGCTGGATGATGTGCATTCCACCATGGGTGCATGCAATTCATGCAAATATGCCAAAGCAACTTGGAAGCCCATTGGGAAGGAGTGCAACCCACCCCACCATGAACACCTTGGTGGTGAAGTCCACTCAGACCTCTGGGGACCTTCTTCAGTCCAAACCCCAGGCCACAGCAGGTACTATGTGTCATTCATGGATGACCACACTTGTTACACCACCCTGTATTTGCAGAAGATGAAGGCTGAGACCTTCAAATCATAAAAAGCTTATGAAGCATGGCTGAATATGCAGTTTGACACCAAAGTCAAGCAACTTCACTCAGATTGTGGGGGAGAATACCTTAGTGCAGAATTTTTGGAATATCTGAAATCCCAAGGCACAGAACAATGCATAACTGTCCATGACACCCCTGAACACAATGGAGTTGCAGAATGGCTCAACAGAACACTTGTTGAGCATGTACAAGCAATGATTCATGCCAGCAGCTTACCCAAGAAGCTCTGGGGGGAGGCCATTATGCACACAACTTGGCTCAAAAACCACTCATTGACTTGCTGTCTAGGCACCTGTCAAAGCCACACAACACCCCTGACTTTCTCCTAGAGTGGAGTAGGAGTGGGTTGGGCTGCAGAGCACAGGGGTTAAAGTCCAAGGTGAATCCAACCACTGGGTGGTGAGATATTCAATGAACAATGAGCAGAGGAGTACAGAGGAAATTCAGGGACAGAGGTCAGAGTCAGAGGTCAGAGGTCAGATAGGAGGGCATCAGGTTCAGCTAGTGTGCTGCCCCCTTGTGTGAGCTCAGCCCTCATATTTCAGAGGCAGAGCAGACTCAGAGGAGAGGAGACGAAACTCTGGAGGGAACTCAGAGGGAGTCAGAAGTGGGGACTTTATCGTTGATATTTGTACTCCTTACATCAGAGTACTATGTGGTGTTATATATGATGTGGGTCATGGGCAGGGCAGTGTAGAATGCAAACCAATAAATGTATAGCAGGTTAGCAGTACCTCTGACACAACAGATAAAGCACAGTGATGAAGTGATGACAGGGACCTTAACTGAGACAAAGGAACTACTACAACAAGGGGAAAGAGGGTAAACACTGACAAAGTGGAAGAATGGAGAAAAGCTGACACAAGGGTGGAACCCTAAATGGAATGCAGGGTGGCAAGTCTGACATCCTGCCAAGCTGACCAAGGTCTTGGAGGAAGTACAGGTGAAGGTCTGGCCTTCACATGACTGGCCTGAGAGCAGAGGTGAGTGGAGGTGGTTGGAATGTGGACAGGGGACCTTGGAGAGGTGCAGAGATGTGTTGGGAGGGTTGGACCAGAGCAGAGTTTTGTCAGAAGGGTCAGAGGAGCATGGGAATGTGTCAGAAGAGGGCAGAGAAAGGTTCCCAGGGTGCAGAAGAGGGCAGAGAAGATGTTAGTGGCTTATACCAATGTCATGGTCATGTCAGCACCAAGACTCCCTATGAAATGCTCTACAAAAGACCACCCAACCTCTCAAAAATCCCAGTCTGGGGATGTCATGTCAAGGTCCATGATACCTCCAGCTCCAAGCTAGATGTGCAAGCCTGAGACAGACACTGGGTAGGTTTTGACCCTGAGAGTGATGGCCACTGCATCTACTGGCCTGACACATGAGCAATCAGAATTGAATGAAGTGTCATTTTTGAGAGCCAGGATGTGTCTGTACCTTATGGTGTGCTGCTCAAGGGGGAGCAGGGAAATTCTGATGCCTCAAAACAAAACTCCAAAGCTTCACAAGGAAATTCCAAGCCCATGCAGACAGTTATTCCAAGATCTGTTCCAGACCCACTCAGAGATAATTTCAAAACACCTCCACCTCAACCTTGTCATTCCACTTGCCAGCACTTTGAATCAGACTATATGAGGCACTTACATGCAGGTGAAGGGACTCATGATGGATGCATCCCTCTCAACTTTGTATAAGAACTCCAAGAGAGCAATAGCAACCTTAACAGCCCAAAATCCCAAGAGAATGCTACCTATGTATTCAATGATGAACTAGCTGCTGATGAAGACAACACTAACATTGTGTATGCTATGGTAGCAGGGATGGATAAAGCCAAAGGGCTGGATCCATCCACAGTACATGAGGTGAAATCCTGAGCTGACTGGCTGAAGTGGCAAAATGCCATAAATGCAGAATTACAGAGCCTAGAGGAAGCATACACCTGGGACATCATTGAGTGCCCAAAAGGTGCAAATATCATAGGATGCAAATGGGTCTTTAAGATCAAACATAATGCCACAGGAGAAATTGAGAAGTACAAGGCCTGCCTGGTCACTAAGGGCTACTCTCAGATACAGGGCATCAACTATGATGAGGCCTATGCTCCCATCACAAGACTTGCATCACTTTGCACTATACTTGCAGTTGCCACATGCAATGACTGGGACATTGATGTCTTCAATTTTCACTTGCCATTCCTAAACAGAAAACTCAGAGATGGTGATGACATCTACATGGAGCTCCCTGAGGGCTATGCTGTAGGGCAGAATTTTTCCTGCCCAGTTGGGAAGCTAAACATTGCACTGTATGGCTTGAAACAAGGCACACTCTGGTGGTACCAGAAACTATGTGCTACCCTTGCAGATCTTGGACTCACCAGAGCTCATGCAGACTGGGGAGTATTCTACAGTTGCATTGGATCGGAAATCCTTGTTCTTGCCAGCCACATTGACGACTGCACTGTAACAGGCAGTTCCCCATCATTAATCCACTCATTCAAACTGTTATGCTCCAAAGCAAGTGACTTCATCAAATAGACTAGGCACAAGTGCTAAGGATGTACTTGATGGGCTGAACATATTGTTACCCCTATGGCTCAACTTTGTGATGACTCCAGCAGAGTCTTCCCTTGGGTTCAGCAAGTCCTGGTAGGATCATGATGAGGGAAGTGAGGAGAGATCAGAAACAAGCTGAGTTGCAAAGTAGTGAAAAACTGAGGAATACATGGTATGGTAGGTCTAGCTTAAATACATCCTTGGAAGAGTGCTGTACCCATCATATTCATATTCAATCAGTAATCTGCAGTGTATGTGATGAAATGGAAAAGAGTCATACTCAGTCAGTGATGGGAATAGTCAAGGAAATGAACACCAAACTGGCTGTGCCATCCAGGCACAGCAGGGGCCAGACATTGTGACTGTCAAAGTGAAACATATGAAATACAGCAAATCAGACAAATGGAAAGGAGTCATATCACAGAGGCAGTGGCATTGACTATCAGAGGGTTGCTGGGTGAAGGTCTGAGCCATCCTTCAAGGTACAGGACTCCAAGGATGAGCACTGACACAAGAGTCACAACAAGGCACATGACACATGTGACTGCAACAAAAGTCAGCATGAACCAAAAAAGGAAACACCCCTGACCATGTGGGCTGCAAGCACAAGTCATCATCCAACAATGTTCTTTCATATCTCATGCTCAACATCCCCAACAATATATTCCACCAGCTGTTCTTCATACTTTGCCATCATGGGAAGAAAGCATTCTTGGTGGCCTGCAACAGCATCTGGTCATTCATGACCATCATAGTATAGCAATTTCTTGTACTTCTGAAATTGGAATCCCTCACTGTCACATACCAAAGATGTTGTGGAAATGGTTACAGCTGACCCTGCCTAACTTGTCAATGAGTTGCACATGGCACCATGAATGCAGATGAAGACTAAAGCCCTCATGCATAGAAAGACTGCTGGACATGAGCAGTCATCCTTCACACAAGAATGAGTTGTCAGTGCTAGAGGGAAAAGAGGAAGCAAGTTAAGTGGCCATCAAAAGTTTTTAGTGCTTGTGTACAGCATTCCAGTTTTTATCATATCTCCACCATTTCCAAAGATATCAACTCCATTCTCACACTCACTTAAGCTGCTCAGCCACATGATCCTGCCTTCCAAGTTTGGAAAGGATCCTCACACCCCATGTATTTCTACAGCACTCCATCTATCAGATGCTCATTTCGCTAAGTCCATCAGATATGGCCACCTCCTCTTTGATCATCTCACTTGCCTCCTTTTCCAGAGACAGTGGCTATGTATATCTGCCAGGTGTTCCTGCCAGCTTCCATCCTGAAGCCCCCCAGTTCATTCCATCATCATCAGCCCCATCTCATCCCATGCAGCTTTGTCAGCATGTTCTCCTTGTCAGTATGACTTCCAGAAGGACATTCTTTGGTCACCTCAGGTCTGTCACTCAGTTAGAAAGGTCTTATGTGATTGTTTTGGTCTCCCCACTTGATGAAGCATATGGATCCTTCCTCCCTTCTCCCTGCACCATCTTTATTTTAATCTTGTCCATCATTCTCCCCACATTGCAACAGCTGCAGTATAATCTACTGTTCTCCAGCCTCCCTGATTGCATCCATGATGAGTATGACATGCATCTTGCTTTCTTACTGCAAGACCCAGTAGAAGACATCCCCCCTTCTCCCTCTCCTCCATCAGAGCCCCATTTGTGAAGCTTTTATTAACTTTGCTGAGAGGACAAATGGGTGGGAGACACAATTGCCTATGCTCCC